GGGGCTCGTACGGCTGCAGGTGCTCTTTAATCTTACACAGACATTTGTGTAGATTTGCACATCAGCCTCCCCCTTAGGAGACACTGGCAGGCTTGGATCTTAGGCCACATTTAGTCCATATGATTTTTCAGGAAAAGTCGAAGTTCAGGTTTTCAAAATCTAATTTTGATACACTGATGTGAGATTGATAAGAAAAGGGTCAAAGAATGTTTCACTGCAGTTAGGTCTTACTAACATCCAGTGTGTTTTTAAAGATGGTCAATAATTAAAAAAATACATTTTATCAGACTGCTTGAGAAGACTTTTTTTAAAATTTTTTTCTGATTTCCAGGAAAATGACAAGAGAAAGTGATAGAATATGTAACTAAAAGCACAAGGACTATATAGGAGAAAGGGGACCAACAAAGAGGGGTGTGGGTGTAGTAAGGGGTGAAATCAGAAAAATGATGATATATGTACGAAAATGTCCCAATGAAACCCAGTACTTTGTATACTAACAAAAAATCCTAATAAAAACAAGCTGACAAGTAGAAGATACCCACTTTTCTGCACCTTGTATTCCATATTAGTATTGCGTAGCCTTTTAAGTTTAGACCTTAAAGTTGGGTGTACTTCACACTTAGCAATATGTGTAACCGTTGGATAAGCGGAGATGCACATGGCACAGTTTGTATCTTTAAAGTGAAAACAACGTGGCTAGGTGCTTTTAAATGAATTCATACATTTAGAACAAGTGAGAAGACAGCAGGATTGGAGGTTGGTCGAGACAGACAGGAGTAATCACAGGCAGGAACATCCTGCAGGAGCAGAGCCTGTGGGGCTGCTGGGCCTGTGGGGCTGCTGGGCCTGTGGGGCTGCCGGGCCTGTGGGCTGCTGGGAGCTGGGCTGCCGGGCCTGTCGGGCAGCTGGGAGCTGGCCATCCCCAGAGTAGAGCCATGCACAAAGGAGGTTGAGGAAGGCACTAACTGCCTACTGAGAAACCAGTGCTCTTGAACACAGGGCTCTTCAGTGCTAAGTCTCTAGTGAACTTGGGGATCAGGACAGTAAGCAAGACAGTAATCATGTTAGCTAGTCTCATCACACAATTACATGTAGCCAGAATAATTCACTTTCCTGGTGTCATCATTTAAATCCTGGTCATTTCATTGGGTAGCTTTTCCAAAATTATCAATAACTATAATTTCCAAACGTTGCACTGGGTACGTGGTGAGCACACCTCAGAGTTGCCTGTGTAGGTGGCTGCTGTTCACTAGTGGCAATTGCCTAAGCATGTCTTCTGCTTGCTTTCCAGTGATAAGGAAGACGGGACAGCTGAGGAGCTCACGGAACCTCTCAAGTACGCCGAGCAGCTCCCGGTGGCTCAGATAATACACCAGGTTTGTGTGCTTTGTGTTTGATTCTTTTGAAAGAAACACATTCTTAATCCCAGAAGGTAATTAATTGCTTTTTTTGGGTTTTTTGCAATCAGTGTTTTCTGGCTAAAGGTGTTGTGGGCTCACATGTTCTTCCTACTTGGGATTTACCCTTATGTGAGCATTCCCATTTGAAGCTCAGTGTTGAAGAAGATTTGCAGTATAATGCTAGAACTCTCGTGTGAAGTGGGGGGGGTAGTCAAAATTACCTCTTACGAGTTAGTAAATATCAGTTCAAGCTACTTTTGAACCATTTATATGTAGTTCACAATGAGAAAGCAGAAAATGAATCATAATGTTGGGTTTTGGAGAAGCTAAGGAGAGGAAGCCTTCTACCTGCTCTTCTCCACCTTCCCCATCATCAGCTGTTGGGACCCATAATACTAAGGTCATGTGGGCAGTTTGTTCATTTCTGGTTCTGAGGACTTTGTCCTGCTGTATAGTGATCAGCTGAGAACAGGCAGTGTTGAAAGCACTAAACTTGGATTCTGTGCTGTGATTATGACAGCACAGACATTCTGCTCTGCTGGCCGGAGTCAAATCACTTCCAACAGCTTGTTGACTGGCCTGTGGATCTAGACGATTCCTCAGCTTCTCAGATGTTGTGGACAGTAAGTGTCCTCGTGTGTCAGAATGCCTCAGAGTTGGTGTTGATATTATCACCAGTAGTTTTTCTGTTTTTTTTTCAGTCAGAAGAATTTTTCACATCTGTGGGTGGTTAGTAGTGCCAGTTCACATTTATCAAAAGAAAGAGGATTTTGATTGGAAATTCCACCATATAGATAAAAATTCAGTTTTAAAATTCTGCATTAATCTTAAAAGTGGTTAGAAACCTGCCCCTCTGGGATGCTCATCTGTGTATGGTAATCAAGTCCAGTTTATATGTCAGGAATTCCTGGATTGTCTGAGCTTAAATGACCTAACAGGCTGCAAATGTCACATTTAGAATTCTGTCTTCATGCCTGACTCTCGGCATAAATGAATTAAACAGCCGAGCAGGCAGCAAGTCAATATGCTCTCGACAGCGAACGTCTGCTCAGAATAGGTAAGCAGGCCCTGCCCAGAGCTGGTCACTGGCCCAAGAGCTGAGCATAGAGCAGGAGCTCACCTTTAAGACACTGGCCACACGAGGTGCAGAAGTGCTTCTGTGACATGCAGGAAGCAGCCGCCCATTTTCTGGAACCACTGTGCTGTACTTAAACACTGTTTCAATTCAAGGTAAACATTTGACCCTGGTGAAAATTTTACATTTTTTTTCTAGTATAAGATATGGTATTAATTTAACACTAAATAATAAAAAATAAAATTAAAAATCTGAAGGATCAGCTGGGCATGGTGGGGCACACCTTTGATCCCGGCACTTAAAGAGTCAGAGACAGGTGGATCACTGTGAGTTCGAGGCCAGCTTGATCTACAAAGTGAGTCCAGGATAGCCAAGGCTACACAGAAAAACAAAAAATGAAGAAAAAATCGGAATGATCTATCATAAAAATATCAATCTTTAAGAAATTCTGCAGGATAGGAACTTATTTCTATTAAACAAAATTAAGGCGTAGGCAGGAAACAGCAGATATGTCATCCACTTCTCTGTCATTCTCCTTTTATTTCTGTGACAGAAATGCCACCTTTGCATTCTCCCAGCAGGTTCATGTGTGTGTGTGTGTGTGTGTGTGGTGTGTGGTGTGTGTGTGTGTGCCTGTGTCTGAGTGTCTATGCGTGAGTATGTGCTTGTCACATGTATGCGGTGTCCCTGGAGGCAGAGGAGGGTGTCAGGTCTTTTGGGATGTAACAGACCTCTAGTACCCACGACTGTGAGGCCAGGAAAGCAGAATATTTTCCATGACATAAGGAAGCACCAGCTTAGAGAGAAGTACCTCTAGGAGGGTCTCAGTAAGGTGACGGGTGGGAGTTAGTGGAGAGGAGTTGCCGAGTTCCTGCCCCCAGCAGAGGAGGAGGAGGGTCAACAGAGCAGTGTGCGAGAGCTTGTGAGAGTTCCTCACAGGCTGCATGCCATCTCAGTGCAGGTGGGCAATGAATGGAAGAGCCCCATGTGCCACGGGTTCACTTTATACATTCAGTGAGTTAGTTAGTGCCTATCAAACTGGCAATTTGAAATCTGGTTTGGGAGGAGGGCCAGGAGTTGGCGCCATGGTGAGAATGCTGTAAAAGCTTAAGGATGAGATTTCAGATCCCATGCAGCACTGTTGGCCTAGGGAGGAGCAGAAACTGCAGGGTTTGGGTGGCGCCAGCATAGCTGCAGGACCAGGGCGACACCTTCTCCAAGCAGGAAGGCAGAGATTGGTAGGGCAAGACACCTGATTTCCTCTTCTGGCCTCGGGGAGCGTACTCATGAACACATGCCCCTCTTCCCCCGACACAAGTAAACTAACACTTCTGAACTGAGTTCAGCGGTCTCTCAGAAGGTTAGGCAGAGTTATCATGTGACCAAGATTTAAAGACACGTACAGTATATACACAGATGTTGACTGCAGCCTTCAATGAATAAGTGGTGGGTGGAAACAGCCTTAACACTGAACAGCCGGTGAGCAGGTGAGCAGCACACAGAAGCACATCCAGACAGCAGAATAGTGCTGCAATTAAAAGGACTAAGGTGCCCGTCACCTGCTGCATGGATCCACCTCAGCAGGCAGAAACATCAAACTATGAGCGCCGTCAGGCAGAATGCCAGCATTGCCACATCTGGAGATCAAGGGTGGCTATATCTGGGAGGGCGTGGGGCGTGATGTTCTTCTTTTGGGGAGGAATAGAGGTATTCTGAACGTAGTGGTGATTATTGCACGGCTCTGTAACTACTGAATTTCTAAGGTGAATGCTGTAGTGTGCCATTATATTTAATAAACATTTGGAAAGTTAAAGTTCCCTGTTCCCAGTGGAGAGCCAGGAAACAAGGCCTATGCCCCTCTGCTGCCCTTCTTGAATGCCACAGGGCAGCCTTAGGAGTAGTGTGTAGCAGACAGCGGTTCTGTTCATTGTGGTCTAGCCTCCGAGACCCAGTGCAGTGATGTGCAGTAGACTCACTGTCCACGGCACACCGGGAATACACAACACTCATTGTCCATGGCGCACTGGAAACACACATTCTAACGCTCATTGTGTCTGCGGCACAGTGGAGATCCACATTACCACACTCACTGCATCCACAGCACACGGAAACGCTCATCACAGCACTCACTGTGTCCATGGCACACCGGAAACACACATTACAACACTCATGGAATCCATGGCACACCGGGAACACGCATTACAACACACATAGCTAACATGGGAAGCAGGACTTTCAGATTCAGAACTCAGTAGAACAAATGTGTATTTTTTCCTCTTTCCTTATTTTAAATAATTGATTTTTTAAAAATCAGCTAATGGTTCTTTTCTTTATCCCTATGTAGAAAATTTAATCTAGCTGCTTGCAGATAGTCACTCAAACTCAGCATCTTCAGTCCCTTTCTTCTCTCTTTAGGGCTCAGTGCAGGTTATACAAGCATGCCTGACATGGCTTCATAGCACATGAGATTCAGTGTCACTCCTGCACTGTCCGAGCACAGGGCTGTGCCCTGCTACACTGATGCAGTGTCCACAGCAGCTCTGGAAACACTTGCCGTTTCTCTGTCTGTGGCTGCATAGCGGTGACGTTAGTGAGCAGTGCAGGTAGTGGAGTGTCATGGTGGAACCAAGAATCATGGGAGATGGGCTTCTGGCGTGCCTGTGGGTCATCTTGAAGGCATTCTCTGAGTGGGGTCCTGGGCACCACAGTAGAGAAATGAAAGAAAGTCATAGCCCCGATTGCAGATACTGTGTGACCAGCTGGCTGCAGCCCCCCCGTCCCGTGATCTCTCCACAGTGATGCTTGCCACTTGAAACTCTGTGCCAGCAGAAACCCTTCCTGAAGTTGCTTTTGAGTATTACCGTCACAGCCACAGGAAGAGCAATGGGGATGGAGAGAGGACAGCCCTTTGCTGCTGATGGTTCTGTGTGGCCGCCCATCTGTCTTGAGGTTTTCTCACGTCCTTTTCTTCCCTCTCCTTGCATGTCCTTGAGTTGGCGCCTTTAAACATGCTGTACTTTCTTCATAAATGCTGGAGAGTTTTGTGAGTGCTTTTGTTGAAGAACTAGGTGAGCTGTACCTAAGGCATAGAGCACTGCATGCACATGGTGCATTATTGGAGCCTTACTTCCTGCCCTCCGACCGAGGAGTACAGGCATCTCTCAAGGCCACCCCGGCCTTACTGCCAAAGTGCTTGTGGTGCTCAGATTTCTTGCGGAGCCGACAGGGTGGTCTATACCAACGGTTGTAAGAGGGCTTGCAAATCATACTGGTCGTGTGCTAACAGGTTAGCAGCAATTTGGAAAATAGAAATTGGAGTTGCTGGTGTGGGGACATTGCGCTGTAAAGCATAAGTCCTTTAGGAATTTGTTAGCTCACAGTACCTGGACGTTATGAAGAAATAACAGGAAAGTGAGGACAGAGACCCTGCGTTCCTATGTCCATCTTCTCTGTTCAAAGACAGTTCTGTTTACAAGCAGTGCAGTCTGTCATTGGAACATAGAGAGAAATGGGTGGGTTTTCATAATTACCCCACAGGTACTGGCTTGAAAATCAAACCACTTTTTAAAAGATAGTTTGGATTTTTAGTTAAGATTTAAAATTTATGAATATAATATGGTATTTTTTTATTGAAAGTTACTGCAATTTTCTTTGTAAATGCAATCACCATCAAATGAATTAGGTAATATTTTGGGCAATTAATAGGTTCATTTCACTTTAATTTGTGAACATAAAGTTGATTAGCACCATGTAGAGCTTATTAATTATAAAATAATGATAATTAGTGATTTGAAAATTAATCAGACACAAAAGTCTTTCAAAAAGAGAACTATCTACGTAATTAGGAATATCTATTCATCTCAAATGCAGCCTTTTCATAAATTTCATTTGGAGTGAAATA